TGCATTACGCAATATATATATATATATTGCGTAATGCATAGATAGCGCACATACTATATTCTATGACTAATACGGTATTTATTTTATTATATTAGGTTTATACTATATTATATTATACTGTGTTACATTACATTACATTGCACTGCATTACATTGTATTGTATTGTATTGTATTATATTATATTATATTATATTATATTATATTATATTATATTATATTATATTATATTATATTATACTATATTATATTATATATTATGCATGCATAGGAGGCACAGGAAATCCCGACTGACGATCATAGAGGGGTTCCGCGCCATTATCGTCTTCGCCGTCACCACCTTAGGGCCGCCAGGGTGCGCTGTGGGGTCGCAGCAGCAGAAAAAGAAATGCAGAGAGGATAAGCTTGTCAGTGGGAAGAGACAGGCGAGAGAACAAAAGAGAGAAGAAAGAATGAGAAGAAGAAAAAGAAGTACGCTCAACTCACTCTTCCTAGGAAACCTGTATATCTTCGTGTCCCACGTGTGGCCCGAAAATTTCACGTGGATTGCATTCACCACCACCACGGAGTCTCCTGAGACCTTTAAAGGCGAATAGTCAACACGGTGCTTCCCTTGCAGCAGCCGGCAGATCTGTGCCGCCAAGCCGCCAACGCTCTGAAGAGAAGCAAGAGAAAGCGGCAAAAATTAAAAAATGACTAGGTGGAGCCCGTGAAGTGTTTAGAGACACAAATGAGTTGAAATTCAACTCGAAATATAATTCTTTGCTCCTTCTTTGGTTGAGATCATCACACGATTACGTGCAGAAACACTCGCCTTTCCCTTCGCATCTAATATATGCCAATGGTTTTGGGTTTCTTCATCTAACATCGTAACGGCTTTTAAACTTCGGTGAGGTTTCGCAAGAACGTGATCTCTGGGCATATTTCGCTTCATAAATGGCCTCGCGATCCTGAAAACAAACACACAAGCACGGGAAACCGGAAATTTCAAGTGAGGTGTACGTATACCCCAATAATAGCGGCGGTGCCGCCGCGAGGCCGATGATCTGCTGAAGCAGGTTTTAATGCTTACCACTGTACATTTGCAAAGGGATCGATTTTGCCTTCATGAAAAGAACTTTTTGCGTAAGAAGTGGCGAACAAACGCCGGCAAGACCGGCGCAGCCACTCCATATTCAACCTGGGTACACCGGTGGAAGGGAAAGCCCGCGCCTCTATAAACCCCCAAGTTCATCAGCTTAAATAGTTCAGCTCATCTTCATACATCCAATTTCACTTCTTCTTTAATTCGCCTTCCCTTCTTCGTTCGACAACTTGGAGGGAACTTAAGAAATTGGAAAATGATGATGTTGAACGGCGGAGTCCGCACTGGGAAGAAATTTCAACAGGTGAATTCGGCTGTCTGTACACCGCAGCTGTTGGTGTTTACTTTAGAGGCACTTGAAGCGAAGGGAAGAAATAATGCAGCGACTTAAAATTTCATCTTCATCGCCACCTTCTGTTGGCTGCGGCTGTCTGCTGCTTCCGCTTTCTAAATGGCGTTTTTCGTTGGTGGTTTACTTTCACGTGGAGTAGAAGCGAATAATTAACCGAAGAAGAGTTAAACAATTCAACAAATTTCTTTCTCTATTATAATAAGGCTTTCAGCCCCTAAAACGCTGCGACTGGCTGGCCGCATGCATCGGCGTGTCGGCGGCAGCCCCCTACAACGGCGAGCTGTTGCTTAGGGGCTGTGCGCTTTGAAAAGACTGGAGAATAGCAGCAAGGCAGTGTCTATGTTGCAAACTGTTTCATTTAATTGAAGCAAAAGAAGTAATACTTTCAGCAGCTGCAACAGCCTTACTGCAGCAGCGGGGGAGGAACAGCAGCAAAAACGGCGCTGCTGGCCGTTTCTTCTTAACTCCATTCATCTGGCAGTTTGTGGGTCTTCTTTTCTTAATTCATTTTAGCAGTATCCGCACTTATTTACCACTTGTGCAGCAGCAAACAGAGGCGCTGCAGTGTCTGCACAGACACCCCAAACCTGCAGCAGCGGCAGACGCCGCCTTGCATTTCTGGCGGCGGAGATATTCAACAAAATGGGAAATGCGCATGGAGGATTTAACCTCCCTGGACACCCGGGGGGCAACGGTACGCCTATTAGCTGTGCAAACACCCGAAAGCTTGGGCTTGAAGGCCCGGAGCAGGCGGGCAAGTGTGCAGCATCTGTCGCACCGCATGCAGCAAATGCAAAACGTTCTTAAATGTATTAAACAGACGTCGGCTGCTTTAGCAGATACTTGGTGATACTCTGTAGAGGGTATTCGGCAGACAGGCGGTGCTGCTGCTGCTGGGAGGGAGGCAACGATGCGCAGTCGATGCCGATCGCTCTTATTGATTGCCTAGATGAGTTGGGGTGTATAGACACCTTACACCAGAGGAGGAGATCTCAACGGCTGTAATTGGAATAGTATTTGTGCGTATGGTTTTGTTTCACTCAGACGATAAAAAGGACAAAAAGAAGGAAAAGAAACCCCTGGAGGCTGCCCCCCCTTCTCACGTCGGGCGACGCAAGAAGCCCAAGGGTTCCGTCGGCGCTTCTAAACTGCCAAATGGTGAAGAATAAATAATTTAAATGGGTTGAAATAAATGCTGAAAGGCTCAGAGACCTCTGTTTGCGATGTACACACAGACACCCCACCCGTGTACTTTATTTGTGCTGCATCGCATTGACTCCTTCTTTTTTGCGTCTTGTCTCTTTTTTTCTTTTTCTTTCAAATGAATCTATTTCAGTTACCCCCGTCACCAAATGCCGGATGCGCCTGTTGAAGTTGGAGCGGGTGAAGGATTATTTGCTGTTAGAAGAGGAGGTGAGGGGGTCGAGTATTTAAACAAACTGCACTCTGTGGTTCTACTAAATAAAAGAAATGCCCTTTATGTCGTTCGTAGCTTGGGGTTTAAAGATGTGCTGGAAACAGTTCAGAAGGTTTTCTTTTCTCTCTCCGCTGCTCAGCGTTTTCTCGCGGTGTTTGTACACCTCACTGGGGTTTTGTGGGATAGTGGGTGGGCATTGCACACATTTGTTTGTTGCATTTAAAAGCATTTGTTTTAATCTTCTCTTCTTTCTCTTCTTTTGTTTGCTGCAGTACATCAGCAACCAGGAGCAGCACAAGCCAGCAGAAGAACGGAATGAGGTGCGAGTTGTATTGTCGTTACTAGTAAACAATAGTAGTGATTTCTTCCAGTGTACATTTAATTTCTTCGTTTTTGTTTCCTCTCTCCTTCTTTTGTTCTTCTTTATTAAATGCACTTCGACTCCATGCGCCTCCTCTCCGCCGTCTGTGTTTTCTGAGTTTGTTACTCCGCTGAATGCTTCATTTGTTTGTCTTGCCATTGCTCTCCTTTTCGCCTTTACGCTTGTTCGCTCATTTGTTTGTTTTTTTCTGTTTATTTGCTTGTTTAATTGTTTGTCTGTATGCTTATTTACTGGTTTATTTGTTTGTGTGTTTGTTTACTTGCTTGTTTGTTGCTTATTTGTTTGTTCATTTTTTGTTTGTTTATGTGTTTATTTGTTGATCTGTTCATGCGTTTGTACACTTGCGTCTTTACGTATGTATTCGTTCGTTTGGTTATGACTGCATTGATTCGTTAATTACTGTATATCTGTTGATTAATTGGCATTACTTAACAATTAATTATTAATAAAATAATTACTTACTTGTTTGTTTGTTTAGGAAGAGGTGTCTCGCGTAGACGAGCTGCGGGGGTCCCCTTTAAGTGTCGGTACATTGGAAGAACTCATAGATGATCAGCACGCTATTGTAAGTTCTTCAATAGGGCCGGAGTATTACGTCAACATTTTATCTTTTGTCGACAAAGACCTCCTCGAGCCGGGATGCTCGGTGCTGCTGCATAACAAAGTAAGGCAGACAATGCAGAAGACATACCACTTGCAACGCCGTCTCTTCCTATTCTTCTCCCCCCTCATATATATATATATATGTATATATATAATATGCATATATCTGTATCATATATGTATATATATATATATATCGCTATCTATCTGTCTTTTTCTTTCTATCACTTCCGCTCTTCACTCTGAAGTGTCTGCGTGGTTTTGCTGCTGCGAATGAGCAGCAAGAGCAGCAGCAACATCAGCATCAATGCACAACAGCATGAGCATTATCAAAACAACAGCATCAACAGCAACAGCAGCAGCAGCAGCAGCAGCAGAATGGGGGCATATTTGTGTTTATTTATTTGTTTGTTTGCTTGTTTAGACGAGCAGCATCGTCGGCATCCTCAGCGATGAAGTCGACCCACTTATCTCCGTCATGAAAGTTGAGAAAGCCCCTTTAGAAACGTACGGGGATATTGGAGGGCTTGAGAAGCAAATACAGGTAATTTAAACAACAGCAATAACTCCCTATACACCCCAATGCCTAAATGCTTTATTATTATTATGACGATCCTCAGGCCATAGTCGTGCAGCTCCATGTACACCGCAGGGGTTTGCAATATGGATCTACGGGGTTATAATATATACCGCGGGGTTTATTTATTAACAACTCAGGGTTAAGTTGTATGCACCTGGAGTTCTTTAGTAATATGCATATCAGGCTTTAATATTACACACCTGGGGTTTAATAGTATACTTGCCAGGGTTTAATATTACACGTATTATACACGTCACGGTTTAATATATACGCCTCACGCGTATACCATTATACACCTCATGATTTATTACTATTATTATTATTATTATTATCATTTATTATTATTATTAACAATTATTATTACTATTATTAGTTATATTATTGTACTATTGCTACACATGTAGGAGGTAAAAGAGGCGGTGGAGTTCCCTCTGACTCACCCCGAGTTCTTCGAAGACATCGGCATCGCACCACCCAAAGGCGTCATCCTCTATGGACCCCCAGGGACAGGTGCTGTTGCTGTTGCTGTTGCTGCTGCTGCTGCTGCTGCGGCTGTTCTTGCCGGTGCTGCTGCGGTCTTTGTTGTTGTTGGTGCTGCTGCTTCTGCTGCTGTTGCCGCTGCTGTTTCTCTAGCTGGTGCCTCTGCGCTAGGGGATGCAAAAGCATGGGGTGCACATCGAGCAGCAGCCGCAGCAGCAGTGGCAGAAGCAACAGCAGTTGTAGCAGCAGCCATAGCGCCACGAGCAGAAGGAGCAGCAGAAGGAGCAGCACGAGCAGCAGCAGGCACAGCAGCAGCACGAGCATTATGGATCAATGCGTGTATGCGTATGCGTGTGTTTATTATATCAGGGAAGACGCTGTTAGCAAAGGCAGTAGCGAACGAGACGAGCGCCACCTTTCTGCGGGTTGTAGGGAGTGAGTTAATTCAAAAGTATTTAGGAGACGGTCCTAAACTTGTGAGAGAAATGTTTAAACTGGCGAAAGAACACGCGCCTTCTATCGTCTTCATCGATGAGATCGACGCTGTAGGCACCAAGAGGTAATTCAGCTGCGCTTCTTCTCTTTGTCTTTTCATCTCTTTATCTTTTCTTCCTCTTTCTTGTCTGCTTGCCTCACCAGTATTATCTTTTCTTTCTTATTCTCTTTTCTTTTCCACTCTTATCCCTTGTTTTTGCTTCTCTTTTGCCGGATTGTTTTCTCCAACAGTCCATGCAACTGGCATAACACTAATAATGACTATAAACAAAACTATATATATGTATGTATATATGTGTATATATATCGTCAACAGATTATTTGTGCATGCAGGAGTATAGCAGAAAGAGAAGAGTTGCTGTTTTGTTTTTTCCCTTCGTCTTTGTGCTCCTTGCGGCGCCAACAGAATTCCCTCATTTAATCTTCTCCCTTTTTTCCCGTTTGTTTCATTCACCGCATCCTGCTAGCGTGCTTATTTGTTTATTTGCTTGTTTGCTTGTTTGTTCGTTTGTTTGTCTAGTTGTTTTTTGCTGGCGTATTTCTGTGTTTGTTTATTTGTTTTTTTGTGTACTTGTTTGTTTGTTTGCTTGTTTGTTTGTTGGTTAACTTCTTTTCTGTTTAGTTGTTTGTTGGTTTGTTAGACTGTTCATCTGTGTATTTGTCCGTGTGTTTGTTTGTTTGAATGTTGGTTCGTTTGATTGTTCGCTTGGTTATTTGCCCGCATGTTTATTTTTTGTTTGTTTACATGCCTTTGCTCATCGGTTTCCTCGTTTTTTTCGTTTGTTTGTTTGGCTGATTGGTTATCTGTTCATTTGTTGCATATTTAGTTTGTCTTTTGTTTCCTTCTTTGTTTCTTTTTTTGTTTCTTTATGTGTTTCGTCGTTGTTTAATTGTTTGTTTGCTTTTTGTTTGTTGCGTTTCGCAATATTCACTGGTTGGTTCTTTCGCCGTTGTTATTTGTTTTTTTGTTAGTTTGGGAGTTTCAATATTTGTGCATTGGTTGATGAATTTCCTTACTCCCTAATGAATGTCGTGTTGAACTAATTAGCTGATTAATTAATTTATTTATCAATTAACTACCTAGTGCATGAATACATTTCCAAATGGACCTATTTGTTGGTGTTGTTCAGGTACGATGCAACGAGCGGCGGAGAGAAGGAGATTCAGCGAACAATGCTGGAATTATTAAATCAGTTGGATGGATTTGAAGCCCGGGGAGATGTAAAAGTTATTTTAGCTACAAATCGAATTGAAAGCCTCGACCCCGCCCTCATTAGGCCTGGGAGAATCGACAGAAAAATTCAACTTCCAAACCCCGATACGAAAACCAAACGAAAAATCTTTCAGGTCCGCTCGGAGAGGAAGTTAATGCAATCAATTAATTAGTAAACCAGTTAATTAATTAACCAATTAATTAATTGATCTGTTAGTCAATCATTCAATAAAGGAATAAAGGAATAAATCCATCAATCAATTAATTAGTTGAAAAAATTGAATTGGTTGGATCAATTAATCAAGTGGATTTATGAGTGAATTAAGTGAATGAATGTATGAATGAATGCATTAATCGAATGAGCGAATTGAGTTATCTGAAGGAGTTAATTGATTGACTGAATTAATTAAATGGATGAATTAAAGGATGGAATGAATGGACGAATAAAGCAGTGAATTAGTTGAAGGAATTGAATTCTTTACCGTATTGATTACATCAATTAACTGATAAAATGAATGGAAGAATGAAAAGGCTAATTTATGAGCGAATAAAGAAATAATTTAATCGAAGGGATTAAGTTAACTCATTGAATTAATTAATTATGTGAACGAGTAAATGCATATGAGTGAAAGAATCAAATGAATTTAAATGGATGAACGGATGCACAATGAATAAATGAGGGTATTAATTAATCAATTAACTGACTAATTTCATCAATCAATAATTAATTGATTAATTAATTAGTTGATTAATTAGTAAAGGGATGAAGGGAAGAATGAGTAAAGTAAATGACGGCATAAAGCATTAAAAAAATGGGGAGCGAATAAGATGAATGGAAGAATCTCTTAAACCTCTTTCATTGTTTGTTTTTTGTTTTTAGTGTTTTATTCTTATCTTCTTCTTACACTTGTTCCAGTGTTCTTTTTTTGTCTATTTACTTGTTTTTTAAATTTTTTTGTTTGGCAACCACGGATTGAAGTATAATGAGGAAACTATAAAGCACGGTTATGATTTAAATCATATAAAATTATTATTGCAAATTATATTATTTCTTTTTCCTGGCTTTACGTTTTGTAGATTCACACTTCCAAGATGACGATGGCTGAAGACGTCGACCTCGAGGAATTTGTTATGGCTAAAGACGAACTTTCGGGGGCAGATATTAAAGTATGTGATCTAATTATGTATTTTTAAATTAATTTGTCTATAAATGAGCTTGTTTAATTGGTTTTTTTGGCCTGTTCATCGTTTGTACATTCATTCGTTCGTTCATTCATTTGTTCATTTGTTTACATATTTATTTATTCGGTTTGTTCATTCACGTTTTCATTTATTTGTTTAGTTAGCTACCAGTTAATTAATTAACTCATTTATTCGGTTAATTGTGTATCAATTAAGATATCGCGTGGTTTATTTAAGAATTAATTGGTTAAACAGTTCGATACTCAGTACAGCTTGATTAACGAGGAAACAGCAAATAAGACAAATTAAACAAGGGTTTCCTTATAGTATAAATCGAACAAGGAGATAATAAGTAAGGCAGACTAGACGAAGAGATAATATTATCACTCTTATTAATGGATATTATATTAATGCGTATGCAATTAAAGGAGGCAGGCAATAGATGAAGCATGAGGAGTTGAACGAAGACAAGAATAACCAATTCATCTCTTCGTGCTAATTGATGCATTAAAGTGAAATGGGTGGATCCACTGCATGCATCTCTTTTTTGTCTTCTTCTTGCTGTTACCTTTTTATCTCCCTATACACTGCATCTCCTCTCTTTGTCTCTCGTCATTATCCTCCCTCTTTCTCTTTTTTATATGATTTGTTTCTTCTTTTTCTTGTTGTTTTATCCAGGCTATCTGCACTGAAGCGGGTATGCTGGCGCTGCGAGAAAGACGTATGAAAATAACACAGGAGGATTTAAGGCAGGCGAAGGAGAAGGCGTTGTACAGAAAGAAAGGAGATATTCCAGAGGGTCTTTATCTTTGATTGAAAACAAAAAAAGGAATAAAGCCAGAAATATTGGATTATAATACAACAACCCACTGAAATAACAAGAATAAGAATGAGAATAAGAACAAGAAGAAAAAGAATAGCAGCCAATATCATACAGCATAAGGGCTGCTGCTGCTGCTGTCTCGCTATGCAGCGCAACAACCCGAAAAGAGACAGCCAGACTAAACTAGAAGGAAATTTGTTCTTTACTGATGCTGTCCTCACTTTCCTCTCTTCGTGTTGTTCGTTCGAATTATTCTCTCTGCCGCTTGTTCCAAAAACGCAGCCGAGAGAAAAACAGAAAAATGCTAAAGGCTCTATTTAGGGTAGTACTGCTGCGCAGTGTATATACACCGAAATGCGTACAGTTGTTTAGAGCCTTTTAACGCCAATATATATATACCTATATATATATATATATAGATGCTAAAAATATACTCATTTATGCAACCCCGAATTGCATATATATATATATATATATATATATATAT